TATCTTTTCTTTTCTGATGCAACACTTGTTTTCAAAGTCTGGATGGAATAAGTGTCTGCAGAGCATAAGGTTGTAATACTCGTTTTCATGGTGTTACATGATGGCTGTCTTTTTGGAAAACTAGCCATTGCTGGCAACAGTAGCCTCCAGTAACACAACAACCAAAATCATGTAATGAGCTACAGATTCTAATGGAGAGAGATAATCTGATCAGAAGAGCAGGCTTGCCTCCCACAGACTTGCTGGCTGCAGCTTCGTGTCTGAGAGCCTGGGAAGACGATGTTGCACAACAGTGGCACAACAGGCAGGAGACAGCTTCCTTCTTCCTCTTGGTCAAACAGCCTGAGTCATTCAAAACCTCTCATTGACCAATCCAAAGCTTTCTCACAGCCTTTTAAGAAGATATGTCAGTTAACAGGGTGTTCCTCCACCTGTTTCATTTTCCCTGTTCAGTTTTTGTTCACACAACATCACACTGTGTCCCAGAAGATTGACCAAGCTGGGCCTGTGTGAAAGTTTTGACCTCAAGTGTGAGCTCATTAGACATTTGTATCTGTCTTTTTGTGCCTTGATGCATCTTGCAATGACTTTACAGTTTCACAGTAATACCATAAGCTGGAAAAAAAATCACACCCATCTGACAGATGAGTGAAATACCGCACAGAGGGGTTGAGTGGCTGTAGTGGGAGCCCTGACTTACAGCAGACACCAAAGGAGAGCAGAAAGCATGAAGACCTGGTTTTCAGCCCTAACCACTAACCTGCCACCATCTCAGGTGCTCTGCCGAGACTCAACATTTTCTCAGAGATTTTAAACGTTCTGCAAACTCTCTTTTTTCTTCATAATGTTGTTTGCATCAGATTCAACTCAGATTAGAGATCAAAAGGAATTAGGCTACCATCAAGCTGGTAGGTACAACATAGAGAAAAGTTTTCAGAAGGTCTTCAGCAATGTCTGACACAGGAGGGAGGAAGATTACTGCAGGAGGCCTCCTGTGAAACTACTGGCAGGGTAGCAACCGGTGTCCATTGCAGTTACTTTTTTTATGATGTGGTAAAGTCAGGGGCTTTTTATTTGTTGTTCAACTTGTTCATGTGATGTGGCTCAGGGGTGGATGGGTCCTGACTCTCTTTGATGGAAAGAAAAGCTAGTGGAGATTCAGAGAACGAGATTTAAACTCAGACCTGCACATTTTGTAATACAGATTCCAGTCAAACACCTGTGTGGTTTTCATTCTTTTCATTAAGCTTTGCCTTTTTGATTGCCTATAGTCAGTCAGACCAGGAATTAGTGTAATCAAGTATAGTCCAATGGTATCAGTGAAGCTTAGCTTAGTCAATTAATATCAAGGTAGAATTATGCCCTGCATTCCAAGGAAGTTGTGGTTGTGGTTGTAATTGTTGTTGTAGTTGTTGTTGTTGTCATCGTCATCGTTATTTGTCTCGCCTTCCTTCCTTGTACCATTTATTGGACTGCCTTCCTTCTTCATTTATTTCCCACTCTGTATACTCTACAGTATGTCTTGGCCTGCAGGATGTTAGCACCTTCCTCACTTGCCATTCCCCCTTTCTCAGTCCTCTCAGAGGGAACATGATCTCAGTAGCATTGTCTTCCATGTCAAGCTGGGACACAGCAGTGGTTCAAGCAGGTTTGAAACAGAAAACCAGTCATTATGAGCCACCCTTATCCTCTTGCTATCAGCTTGAGGGCGATTCCTTCTTGTTTGTCTGTCTGCCCTCAACTCACAGGGTGTGAGGCTGCAAATAATTCCTGGTGAAAAGTCAGGGAAGTGGTGAGCATAAATCTGTCTCTTCACTTCATACATTCTTGTGGTGGATTGATATTCTGGAGTTACAATAGCTTTTTTAATAACTATGTGAAATCATAACTATGTAGAACTGTTTTCAAGTTAATTTCTGGAAGTGACAAGTAAACAGAGAAGGAAAACATCCTGTTCACTTTTATGATTTTTACAGAATTAAATTATAATTTCATATGTTGACCTACATGTGAAAAAAATTGACTTATACTTGTTTGGTGATATTTTGTGTCTGGCTCACAACACAAAAGATTATATATTGTGAAATACACTGGGAAACAGCTCAAACACTACTACTTTGTGTATATCTTCTGCAGTACACAGTGCTGCATCCTTTCCAACCTTCCTTCTGACTCAAGGAATTTAGTTTGCTGCCTTGCCATTAAAGCAAATAAGCAAAACTTAGATGTACCATAAGCTTTCTGATGTGAACACATAGAGGTGACTTGATTTGTCAGCTACTACGCTTATAATGGAGACCTCTGGACTACTGAGAAAGGAATAGAAGTGTTTTCTGGCACAAATATTTCCTTTTCATTTATTGAGGAAAAAGCTGAGAAACAGTAGAAAAACTATCCTTTGAAGGAGTGGAGGGCTAAAGCTTATAAGCCATGTATTGTTTGAAGTATGTGGATAGATAGATATAGAGATACATATATATATGTATATACAGACTATTGGAATTCCTTGCTTTTTGTAGTTTCATTTAATGAATAGCTTTTTATTGCCTACTTTTTCTAACATGAATATTTATTTTAAATGTTGTATTGAGTTTACTAATTCCTTTAAAACAATGGAACATTCCTTTCTGCAACAATCTGTCCCTCATGGTACAATACTGAGTCAAAGCAAATGGTAAAATATTGAGTCAAAGGGAATGAATACCAAGGTAAACAGTCCTTAATTTTGTGTGTTTTGGTGGGGTGTGACAAAAAGGTAGATAGGAACCTAGTTTTCAAATAGTAAAGGTTATTAGGACACAAGGACTTGGCGTCAGGCATTATCAGTATTTTCTGTGCCAGTGCCCAGGTTAAAATCTCCCCTCAGGTTCTGCTTTCAGTCTGGGGAATGTTTGAGGACCAAAGACAATTTAGGAATTTTAAATGTGTGGCATGTGCTAATGGATCATTGAAATAAACCGGTTCTTCAGAGGCTCAGCAGCCTTACATTCCTTTGCAGGTAAGGTCACTGTCAACATCCTCAGTGCCCTGTATGTCAGGGTTACAGTTAGTTGACACTGCAGGCAGCTGAAATAAAAAACACAAAAGGCTGCAACTCCTTCTTGATAAAATATTTTGTATGGTATAGTTTAATGTTAGAGAGAGGACATTGATAAAAGGATGCAAAGAGGCAGAGGTAGACTGGACTTAAGCTGTGTATATTTGTGAGTGGGTTATTCCCTGTAGTAGAAGCAGAAATATACACACACACATGCACATGCTTCTCTTTAGCTCCAGTGAGGGATGCATCTGCAGTAGTTTAAAGCTTCAGTGGGTCCTGGCAGTTAGTAAATCTCTCTCAGGTTCTCATAGCTTTGCTAATACTGGCACCCAGTCTAGACCACAGCTGTGCTATCACAAGATTTAGTTTCTGTAAAGTTTCTTCAGAAGGAACTGGTTTATCGTGCCATTGTATAATGAGAATAAATGTTCTCCATAGAAAATTCTCATGAAAAATTCATGCCTAATGTGCCCTGAGCATGTACAATTGATAGCTACACATTTTTAAGTCTTGTCAGCTTTCAATTTCTCTTTTCCTTTTCTTTTTAATTAACAAAATGCTGCAATGTGGTCTCTGTGTGTGGTCAGATCATTACATATCAATATTCTGGCTTTAAACCTTATTTTTTAAAAGTAAAATATATTATTATTTGCTGGCTTCCTCCAGGGAAATAAAAAGATGTAAATTATTTACTGTAACCAACTTTCCCTGCAGCTCCAGCTATGGAATTTAGTCACTGACCTTAAAAGCAAAAGCAAAATTGCCCTTTTTCAGTTTATGTTGTCTACACCATGAATTGCCAAACAGGAAGCTGAGATTTCCTTTCCTCAGTCACAAATTCATAAACATGCATGTAGATACTTACCTATATAGTGGTGTACTAATCTTTTATTAACCACACAAGTCTATATTGCTCATAAAACTTTTGAAGGCAGACCAGAATCTATACCATGTAGTCTCATTCCTCAGAATCAATACTGAGCAAATAAATTTATTCTACTTAGATTAATTTCCAGGTCTTTCAGGCTAGAGAATTCTATGTGCTGTGCTTTTTGTGAGTAAAGATACCTCATTCTTCTCCTTGTGATCGTCCCACAGTCTGCCTTTTCTGCAACATGAGAAATACTTCTGTGTATTCACAGATAGAACCCTCCATGTCATACCCTCTTCACACATAACAAATTTGGAAAAATACTCACAAATATCCCTTTGGTCTCACTCATTGCATCTACCCTGGTAAAAACACTGCCATTGTCCCATCCTTCTTACTACTTACTCCTGTGACCTCAGTGGATTTGGAAGGCTGAAAACTGTATTTTGAGAGGACAACCATGATAGAGTGGCTGCAGTATCTTCACCTTGCTTTTCCTTTTTTCCTTATAGACTAAAATATTAACTACTGCCAATATGTAACAAACTTGATTATTGTTTGAATTTCCCAAGTAAGAAAAAAGCCTTTATCTTTCTTTGTTTAGGTTTAGGTAGAGTTATTCTTTGGAAGGTTTACCTTTCATGTCATCAGTTGTCATTACATTTTATAAATGAATATGAATATATATTAAATTCTGCAGTAGCTTCCTTTTACCTGTTTATATTGCTGTGTTTTTACTTTAAGATCATTAGGATAGTTTCTGCCTCTGTGTGTCTGTACAGTCACTAGTACAGAAAATACTGATTTTGGTTGATCACTTGGGGTAGAATGATAACAGTGATGGTAGTGACTCCAATCTTACCATGACTTCTTTGTGTTCATATATGGGAATACAGTATTCCTATATAAGGAATCATCTTATGGTTCTTTCTTACCCCAAACCCTAGAATTTACTGAACATATTTTCTTTCTTTCCTCTGTGTCATAGTTCTTGCTTTGATGGTTTCTTTCCATAATTGATAATGGTTCAACAACTTTTTACTTTCTCTCTCTCTGTTTCATGGTCTCACTTTTTCTCATCCTTTCCAGATCAAGGAACCGTGCAAAAAGTTGTTGTCCTACCCACCAACTTCTCTGCAAGTGGAGAACTCATTTTAGAAGAGCTGGAGGTTTTTCAGGTTTGGTTTGCTTCTACTTTTACTCTTCCAATGTGTATATTCATACAAACACTGTGTTCTAAGAGACTTTAGCAAGGGCGACTGTGACTTGATAAAAGATCAAATACATGTGCCCGCTGTCAGCTTGGTACCCACAGAAAGAAGAATATAGTATGTCCCCTGTTATGAAGGCTTAAGGGATTTTTTTCCTATGTTTAAGTTGTTTATTTTTTATATTGTTATACTGCCTAGAAGGATTTTGATAATCACATTTTTACAAGGTCATGTTATAGTGGCTGGCAGAAGGCAACTTTTATCATTGGCATCACATGTTGAGACTGTAGCTATTCACAGATGGAATCTAAGATTTTTGTGCTTCTTTGATTTACTGATAATCTTCCTGATTCTGAGCTGCAGAATAGAAACAAACTAGTGTTGGTTTTGCTTAACTTCAGTTCTTCAGAGTCACGTGCCTCTGGAGTCATGAAAGTTACAAGCTTAACACAACATAAGCTGAAAAAAACCCCACAAACAGCTACAGGGAGAAGTAAGGGAATAGGCTCTGTCAATCACTTTGACATGTAGCAGCTTGTAGTAACCTAAAGAAAATGTTCACCCTCGTGTTGAAAAGCCCCTTTAAATTTTCGAGTGGACTATTCTTTAAAACAGGTAGACTCAGGCCAAATGGTAGTACACATCTGTAAACTTAGTTAAGGGTTTTGTCATGAGCTTTATTTCATTGATTTCATTGAGGGGATACAAAAGGGAAAATTTAAGCTTTTTTATCTAGACAGGCAGCATGAACAATTTAAGAAAATGAATATACTCTCTGTTAACCCTTATCAAGGCGTAATTGGTCTTCCTAGGCTTTTGTTGAAGACTTCCCTTTAAAAAAAGATATATGTGAGTAATATTACCTGAAGAGTACTGAAAGGAAGATTAATACAGCAAGCACATGGGTGGCTGAGAGGAATCCTGATGCTAAATCTTGTTTCTGGGCCTCTGTGCACATACTTTTTTATACTGAACCCTAAAAACCACAATATCATAACCTCTGCTGTTGCAATCTGTACGGGCAGCATGACAGTATTGTGATGAGTCTCCCTGAGAGAGTGGGAATGAGCTCATTGTCTGTGTGCTAGTAAATATTGAGAGTAAGCAAAGCACTGATTCCTTTCCAGAGTAAAAGCAAGAAAAAGAGAATGAGGCATGGGATCCAATGTTGCATTTGACCTTGAGTCTCTAGACAGTTCATTAAATACTACAGCATCTCTAAACTCCTTCAACCCAGTGCCAATTCACATGATTCGCAGACAGATTTTTCAGTCCTGGCCTCCCTGCTCTGCTTGTAGTCTACTGCTATTAATCCTGGCCCACAATTATGGCTTTGCTTTGTCACTAAGCAAATGCTAAATCTTAAAAAAATGCTGAACATTTTTATTACCACCAATTTTATCATTTGTTTGGATGAGAAGAATGAACTGCTTCATTTGCTTAAGGCAATGAATGTGATAATTCCTTTTCCAGCTCTTTAATATTTGGTTTGGACGCAGACAATAATAAACTGCAGTGATGACACACAGTAGTATACAGTGCTGTCTCTGGGAAAGAAACATTCAATAACACAGATACCATTTTTAATTTTCTAGTCATTGATAATCTGAAAGTATATGTTGGATGGTAACCAGACTATGTGCACTGTAGATAATGTGTAGGAGAAATATGACATATTCTTATCCGAATCATGTGGTAAATATGCATGCTATTGTATGATTTTTCCTTATCATCATCATCAAAGGACAAACATAATTTCTTATTTCAAAGTGAGAGTGATGGCTTCAAAATACATTGCTCCTATATTGCTGAGATATTGATGCAGGTTAATTAGAAGTGTACAAAAAACTTGTTAGTGCACATGAATAATAATAATGAGGTTGAGTTTAGCCAATACATTTAGTGAGACATTAATTTTTTTTAGAATTTGTTTAGTTCTGAAAATAGCAAAATATCAGTAGGACTGAGTGATGCCTTTCCAAGATAGGAAGAATTATAGTTTTCTTAGATATGACTTAGGTTTTACTGAATTTTAAATTTTAATGTTGGGACAGTGTTAATAAGAGAATGCTTGTAAAAGTGGTTTGGAATTTTGTCTTTCAGAGTAATTCTCCTATAACAACAATGAAGATTTCATCTAAAAAGGTAAATAAAAGTGGAATGCTTACTTAGTGCTTATTAATTGAGAAATAAATTAACTTAAAGATGTTAGAATACCAATCATTGTGTAATGTACTAAATATAGGCAGAAGATTTTGCATAATAAATATGAAGAAACTTGACTGGAGTTTGCATGAGCTGTTTATATGCTCCAGAGTCACTAAGATAAAATAATTTCTATTTATTATGTATCACTTCTGATTCACTGAAAGCGTCAATTTTTTTGTTTTGTTTGACAAGTAAGGAAAAAATGTACTAAAAGAGGAAATATTCCCTCCCCTGTTTTTTCTAGAAGTCCTAACTGAAGTTTTCCCCTTGTAAGTCTGGTCAGTGCACAAAGGCAGAGTTGGAGCTGTTGAGTCAATGGTGCAATTGTGTGAGTTTGTTTGTTGGTAATAATGATGGCAGTAAGAATGATTAAAACAGCTGAGGGCTTTTCTGCTGGATGTTAAACACACAAACTAAAATATGTACTCCATGATTTTGCAAGCAATATGTTGTTCACTATTTTACAAAACAAAGAATAAGTAAATATTATTCACTAAATTGAATTCAGTGTAATTTTTTAGTTTTATGACAGAAAGATCAGGAGAGTTTCTAGGGTTTTGTTCAAAAATAATTTATATTTTATGAATAATTGATTAATTGTTTCTGAGTAAAACAGTCATTTTGGCCCAGATTTTGGTGATGACCTATTCACTTCTTTTGCAAAAGCTCTCATTTATTATAAAAGTTCTATTGGCTTATTTTTCCAGGTATATAAGCCTATCAGAATCTGTCCCTAAGCTCCAATATAATCTCCAGGTTTTATGTTATTGGAAATCTGTGCACTGGAGAATCCAACTAGGAACTCTGCATAATATTTATGAAAGTGACTATATGCAGAGAAAATACTTAGTTCAAAGGCTTAAGCCAATAATCCTCACTGAATAAGAACCAAGTTCTCAAATCTGAGCAATATTAACTCTGCCTGTCTGCCCCAGAACAGAACAATGACACTCAATGTCCAAAAAAACATTAACATTCCCCAGTGTTTCTAAGTGTTTTCTAACAGGAAGGTGGAAATATTATAGGCCAGTTCACCTGGGAGATTTCTGTTTATCTTGGCTTTATATATATTAGTGGCTCCCCTCTTGGTCTTGAGCTAATTCCAAAATTAATTGAAAGGTTTTTAGGTGTGTTATCCGAGTCTTGAGTGAAGCTCCTCCACATCTGAAATAAATCTTTCTATTTCATTCTACAGCAACAGTTGTACGTGAGCTCTGACGAGGGGGTTACCCAGGTGTCCTTGCATCGCTGCCACATCTATGGCACCGCCTGTGCTGACTGTTGCCTAGCTCGAGATCCGTACTGTGCCTGGGATGGCAGCTCCTGCTCCAGGTTTTATCCCACAGGGAAAAGGTGAGCAGTGTTAAGAGAGAAGTTAGCAAGGAAAGGAGGCTTTTGTTCTGCTCTGTAGCCTGGGGTGTTGTAATGTGATGGAGAAGTGGGATGTGATTCCTTCCAGGAGCGTGTACAAACAGTACTTCCCTAGCTGTTGTGCTTGGCATTGTTCATCACCTTGGAATGCATGCTTCAAAAGTGTATGATAAAGAGCTTGCTTTTTCATATTTAAAGAAATGGACTGAAAAAAGAAAGAAAAAAACCTTTCTTAATCATAAATATTAATCCTTCTGTCTCATGCACACAAAATCAGTAAAACATTTATTCCCTTTGTTTAAATTCAGTTGCTTACTATGGATGTAATTATGGTAGTCCTAAATACAGCCAAATATCTCTGAGGCTGTCTGAGGAATAAAGTGATTTTTTTTTCTTTGTTCCTCATTTGCTCCTAAGTGAGAAGAATTATTTCCAGGGAAATTTTAGGCAAATGTGATTCCATGTAATGCCTGCAGATTTGGGGTTTTTGACATGAGATTTATTAAAGCAGACAGGGAAAGCAATTTCTTTTTAATTTACAACAGAGCTAATAGTCCATCTCATAATTCTTATGCAAAACAGGAGCCTCTTTCCTCCTCCCAGGGGAAATATTTAATTGTAGGAGGCTGTAGTGAGCTCTTGTATTACTAAGATTTCACTTCATATACAAACAAAGCTACAGAATACACAATGAGGCATTGCTGCAGTGAAGACAAACCTTTCAGATATACACCAGAGCTTTGTCCTCTGTGTGCTACTGTGCTCACTGCCTGCACCTGAGCTGCCAATGCAGAGGAACAGATACAGTTAATACAGATTTACTCCTTCACCTACATGGAGGTAGTGGAAACAGACAAAGCTTGGCTCTGCTTCAGTGACCCAACCAGCTGATGGTAATGTCATCCTCTGGGAATACAGACAATTGCTTTTGCCATTGCAAAGTTTTCTTGATTAATTCCTAATTTCAGACTAAAAGATAAAGCCCAACCTGGCCATGCAGCAATTGGTAAAGTACCTGGGGATTTCACTGCTTTCAATCAGCATGTTCAGCCTCCAGTCTGCAAACTGGTGGTTTTCTTCCATGGAATAAAGATCAGAAGATGGGGAGAGAGAAAAGGAAAATCCACAAGTCTCAGGCCACCTAACTCCTACACTAACATAGCTGCTGAAAGATACACTGAGCAGCCAGGTATACCCAGCCTGTGCAGTTTCCAGTGGATTCCTTGCCATCCCCATTGTATACACCCAGAGTTATTTCCAGTGAGGCTTGCTTTCATGCAATTTGCTTTTTATACCAAACCAAACTAAACATCTAAAACTGTATAGAAAAAAAAAATCTGTTTTTCATATGTAAAGGAAATTAACTGTCCTTTATCTAATGGGAGATTATGAAGGAGAAAACATTGGTAGTTAGAGCCAAATCCTGTAGTCTAGTCAGGTATCTTTCTGCTGGACACATTTGCTTATTTGCTGCTTTTGACACTTCTGTCTCCTGTGGGTTACTATGGTTCATCTTCCAACATTGATTTACCTCAAAACACCTGATAGTATTATCTTTATTTTCTAACCACCACCTTCTGAACCTTCTTTTTAATAAATATCAGACAGTAAGTTTACATTCTCAGCACTGCTTAATGGAAGCGGCATGCCATTTCTGGCAGTGTGGAGCAGCTCATGGTAGCACAGGAATCCTGAAATTCACTCAGAAATTCTTCATTGTCTCCTTTGACTCACATATATAGTTCACAGGGGTTAAAGACCCAAGGCATAACATGAAATATTTTTGATGGTAAACTTCAAAAATATACTTGGAATGTCAGAAATTACTCATTTGAAATGTCACCTTTCAAATGTTTCCTTTTAAAACAATGCAGTGAAGGATCAGGTGACACAGGGTTATAAACACTGTCTCTGAGTGTCTGTGCAGTACCTGGTATAATGTGACCACAGAGGCATTGCCCTTTGCTCAGTGGTACCGGAGCTCCAGGGGGTTTTCATGGTTTCTGATCCTGTGTCATTAGCGGATAGTTCAGAATACAGCTCTCACATATCCCAGCAGCATCCGTTTGCAACAGTCTGTCACCAATATATTTTTGTTGAACTTGATAAATATTGAACTAACATACAGAATATTCAGTAAACAAAATGTCTTAGAGTCATAGAATGGTTTAGGTTGGAAGAGACCTTAAAGACCATCCAGTCCAACCAATTTTTATTCTTAAGAATAAAAAATTCATCTACCAGATATTCATGCACTGAATTCTGTGAGCTATGACCTCCTAGCTGAGAAGAACTGAAATGCCAATATTCCCAGTCCCAGTAAGTTCCATAGCTAATTTGCTACATAGCTAATTTGTGATTCTTGCATCTGTCTTCCGAGTATTGTAACGAAGTCCCATTTAGAAGTATTCTGAGACTTGGTGAGTTTGAATATCTTTTGGAAATAGTCACATACCCTCAAGTACAGGACAGGACTGAATCTTAGCTTTCCACCATTCTGGATGAATATTCCAGTCACTCTGCTACCAAGGTGGCTAAAGGCACTAAAAATAAGGTGCCTGCCAAAACTGAGGAAGTAACATCCTCTGTATCGTAATGTTCTGTTAGTGCATTAGATAGGAGCATCATATGTATCTCATTCTTAGGTGCTTGTGTTTTTGAAGAGTTCCAGCTGGAGGTTCTGGCTTTGAACCTTAGGTCTTGCAAGAGTGAACTTACGTCTATTTCATGCATCCCCTCTAACCCTTCCATCTCTATACCACCATTGTAAAACTACTTTAAAAACTACAACCATTTTATAAACTTCAGCAAACTGATCATTCATTTCAATTGTAGCTTCACTCTAGCGACTCTGACAAGAGTAATGAACACTCACAGTAGGTCATGAACTATCCTTAACAGTTGATCTAGTAAAAAAAAAAACTAAACCCACAACTAAAAAGGTGTTTATTTGCTGTGTAGCTATCTTGAAATAACATTTTGTTTGTGCAAAATATTTCAGGAGGAGTCGTAGGCAAGACGTGAGACATGGAAACCCTCTGACTCAGTGCCGAGGTTTCAACCTGAAAGGTACTATAATTTAGAGATCCTCATGCTATATAAAGAACACATGGCTTTCCTCTATGTGATTCATCATGGTTCACATTATCTTTGTAGTTTACTGGTAAAGCATAGTTATTTTCCAGGTCTGAGTTTTGTTTTGATTTGATTTTAACATCTTTCCTTGCAATTAGATGAAACTTGCATATGTATGATAAAATGGCGAACCATGAAATGCATAGTTCAGCGTACATGAAATGAGAAGCTGACAGTGTTGACTAGAAATAGTTACGGTTCATTTGAAGGTTTTTCTACTTCTAAATCCCTTCAGTCTTTATTAATGCCTCTTCATGCATTTAAGTCTTGGGCCTGAGAATTATTCTGAATATTTGATGCTATATTGAGTTTTTAAGCACATCTTTCAGCAAACAGCAGGTTCTAACTTGGCTTTTGAGTTATGATTATTCCTTTCTCCCTTTACATGGGAAAATAAACAGTTACAAATCTCTTTATGAAGTCTCTTATTTCCAGCTGTACAACTGTTTAGTCAGCCTGGCATTGTGCAGCTGGACAGGGGAGCCAATGCTCTGCACTCCTAGCTACCACTTTCTCCAGATTGATGGACACCAGTCAAATACGGCCAAAGTCATAGCAGGAGTAGACAGACAAACAAAGGCAGCTTAATCCTCTTCAACCCCATGCATGTCTGAGCTAGGTGGTGGCAATGTATGCCATCAAACCAAGGACACATGTTAGAACTGTGCTCGTGTCACCTCTGCTTCTGAGCCTGCATTTTGAAGTGCATTCTTATCTGTACCATCTGGAGGTCAAATAATAGACGTGGCTGTAAATTTTTGATTGATTTTTTTAAATAAAAGAACAATACTTTAAGAGGTACATGTGAAAGGTTCTGTTTATAATAATGCTTAAATGCTTTCCACTGGGTCTCGGAAGAATCTCCTGGATCAAAACAAACCACAGCAGTTAGTTGGGTATAGATCTCTCAGCCCAAATGTGGCTAATCCTGCCCTAGCTGCCAATCTACAGCACCAGCGGGTCTTTCACCATGACTCAGGTCACTTATATGAAGCTGAGTAGCTTGTGCAGGTCATTACAAAAGATGAACCCACCATTAGAGTATGCACCTGAGGTCTGAGAGATCCATATTAAAGCTTAGGCTCTGAATTGTGAAGTACCTTGAGCTGCATGACCTACCTTGCAGGCATGTGCTGTGACCACCCGCCTGTTGTCTGTCCCAAGGGTGGGTGCCTCCTTTTTCCATGTGGAAAATGTGAGAATGTCAACTGTCTGCTCTCTGGGCTGAGGGGAAACAAATGTTTAAACCTTGACAGTCTTGTGAAACAGGTTTCCTGTTTTCCAAACATTTTTTAATGTGGCTATATTTATAAGTTTATGTGTTTTAGCAACTTTAAAGGATGTTTTGGTGACAGCAGTGGGATATAGCATAGCTAGATGGCAGTTGTTTCCCCAGTGGGAAAAAAAAAAAAGATAAAAAGAATCAGCAAGTTAGACTCTCAAAATATAATTAAAGCCATTTATAGCAAAACTACTCTGTTTGGGGGAAAAAATGATATCTACCTAAAGGACAAAATAGCAGAGAGCCAGGCAATAGCAAGAATTCTTCCAAGTTCATAGGGAGCTGTAATCTTGAAACAAAGTCTTTAAACATGATAGGTTGCATACTTTAGACCTCTCAGCATGTATAAACTCAACATTTTTTGGCATATTGCAGTTTTTAAATAGATCGTCTATATCTAAGGGGATTGTATGATTGCTTTTCAGATGTTCTGTTTGATATTGTTATGCTTGTGTTAGCTCTTATGGCCACTAGAGAAATGCATTTGTATTTCCTCAATCTTTCTTAGCATGTATAAGTAGTAGTACAGAGTAGATAAGAAGTTAGATATATATTGATCAATTAAACGGACAAAAATGCCTTTCTGTAGTACACCTAGTTCCAGTGGGCATTAAAACAATGATGTGTTACAGCTCTGATTCTCACTACTCCACAGCTACAGATAGGTCACCCCACATTTTGCCAGCTTATAATCTTTGAATGCAAAATATTTCCACATTATTTTCCTAAAAGTTATAGTTTTTTTGGTACAAACTCATAAATGTCCTAGAAACTTTGAAGGGCTAGAACTGAGCAAAGTCTCATTCCTTTAGTAGAATAGATTCCAATTTAACATCTCAGTCGATGAAAGAAGCTGAAAAGCATGAGAGAGAGAGAGTCTGAGGAAAACCAGTCTTAGAACTGTCAGATTTTAGACATGTAGACCTTTAAATATTTGCATTTCCCATGTTATTTGGTATCCATTGCTCCTTTGTAAAAAAAAAAAATTAAAAAATTGTATTTCATCTATGATGTAAGCTTTTGGAAATGTGTGGTTTTCAGTACAATTGTGATTTGGGCCAAGCAATGAGCATCTAAAAGTTCCTATCGGTAACTGCCAATTCTTCCATCTATCAAGGCTATAAAGGGGCACAAGAAATCCAAGCGATGACATACAGTCAGCACTTGCCCAGGTGTTGCTAGAGTGCTATAAATCTGTCCTGCTCCCTGTTGCTGGCCTGTCTACGTATTCCTTGCCTTTCAAATTTAGAGCCAAGTTCTTTCCCTGCTTCACAACAGAAGCAGATGAGTGGGAGCCAAGCCTGCCCTCTCTCGCCTCTCTGTAATACTGCAGGCAGCTGGGATGGACGGAGCCTTCTTTAGGGGATGCTGCTGTATTTTGAATCGTACGACCAAGTTACCCCACTTGTAAATAATGAAGTGTGAATAAATGTATTAAATACTTTATTCTTCTTTGGACAGCTCTAGACAGATATTCTTGTAGATAGAGAATGAGACCGTTTCAGGGAATGATATCCCTGAGCTCAGTTATCCCACCAGCAGAGCTTGCCAGCCCACAGGTTTGTATCCTGCTTTGTCAGAACAGACCATGTTGGATTGAAAACACTTATATTTGGAACTAGGTGTACTTCTTCTCATTTTATTTCATTTTTCGAATATTTTGGGCCCAGTATTACTTATTTTTGGCTGATACCAGGATCAGATATATTTCATTTTACCTGTATTGCAAAGTTACTTGCTTTTTATATCAAATCATCATTCACAGTAGCCTGACCTGCTTTCTTTTTCTTTCTAGCATACAGAAATGCTGCAGAGATTGTTCAGTATGGAGTAAAAAACAATACCACCTTTCTCGAATGCACTCCCAAATCTCCTCAGGCTTCTATTAAATGGCTACTACAGAAAGACAATGACAGGAGAAAAGAGGTGAGTGATGCGAGTGGTAGCTCTGGCAGGGACCTCAGTCAGCATCTCATCCACTACCTGGACACAGACTAGGGGACGTTTGTGTTTTCATCAGACAGTCTGGTGACAGTGAAGCTGGAGAATTGGTGTGGATGTAGGACAGTGACCAGTGCTTTACTGATGAAAATAAGGGCAGACTCTTCAGTATCACTGAGACTTGACTCCTCAGCCTTAGCCATTTATCTCAGAGCCGAACAGCTATCAAAAAATTCCTGTCAGGTCCTAAAGTCAGGGAATTAGTTAATGAATTTTTCCTTCACACCTTACTAATTGCAGACTGAAGGTTTGCAGCACTCAGGACTTCTTATTGATCTGAGGAAATGGGCATAAAAGCAATAACCTGTATAAAGTTCAGGAAGAAGTCAGCATGCAGTAGCCCTTCTGTGCTATTGAAGGGATAAAAGGCAAAAGTGGGAGAAACGTGAAAGGTTTCTTTAGCAAGAAACTAGTCCAGGCTAAGAACACGTATTGACAAAAGCATTTCCCCACCATGGTGCAATCACATTTTCCATTACTGCACTCTAAGGTTCTCAAGTTTCAGTACTGTAATATACAGTATGATTCTTTATGGGGAATGTGCCCTCCTTAAGTAATATTAAAGGGGGAAAAATCCATTTCAAGTCCAAGGCAGTTGCTATATGAATAAAAAGGAACATCTTTCAAAAGGAAATATTAAGTAATACGGTGTCTGTTGATAGATTGTAAATACTCTAAAGCATTTTTCTCATATCAGGCCATTTTCCAAAATCAGAGAGGACTTACAAGCCTTTCACTCAGTCTTTCATGCTGTTTTTCTCATGTACTCTTCAAAGACTCAAGCCATGTCTTGGCGATCTAGGTGCAGTTCTTTAACCCTTTGCTTCAGCAGAACATCTCCCTTTTTTGTTCTGATGTTCAATAACTGTATTAGAATCAATGCAGTCTTAAATAACAACAAACTATAGCAATCAAAGGGTTAATTACATTTCAAGCTGTCAGGTTTCTGAAAATCTTACCTCCACAATGTCTACAAAAGTTTACAATAACAGAATAGCATAATAAATAAATTAATTCCCAAGAGAATTGGTTATAATGCCAAGTGCAGTGGCAAAACAGAAAAATAATTCCTAAAAATACCAGCACTTATATTCTTTAATTATGGGTTAAATTAGGGATTTTTACACTTCACAGCTGATATGCAAAGAGACTTGTGCACAGTCATTTATAATCAGACAATAACTCAACAAGCCGTGGTAAATTCCTTCCTTTGGATAATGTGACCATCTCTGGGACTGTCCAGAGTCTGAAGTCAGGAAGAAAAGAGGAGAGTAGACAGTTTACTCTTGGTTTCCAATGAGCCAGGTCCCAGCTGAGGCCACTGTGATGAAAGCTTTTATACCCGCCTACAGACTCTGCAGTGCAGAGAGAGTTCTTCAGAAGTCAGCCCTGGGAACCTGCTCTAAGACAAAATGTTTAACCAGAAGCCACCTTGTGTTCAATGACAGATCAGCACCCACGTCTGCACCTTTCATTCATGCAGTCTCAAGCAGCAACCTCTGATGCTGAGAGGTTCTCAGGGGTGTATCCCTGGCAAATAAAAGTTCATTTCCTCAGCTTTGCTATTTGAATATTATGAAAACTCTTTTTTTGTGTAGTCTCCAGATTTGCACCTTTGTCCTCATTCTGATCAAATCTGTTGTAACATAATGAATGAAAATATTGAAGTCATTTTCTTTAGGGACACTTACCTGCCTTGAGATAAGTTCTCTCCTAACAGCAGCAATAACTGATCTCTGGGAGATGTGCTAAAGCAAAATATAGTACTTTTAAGAAAACCTTAAAGAAAGACAGACATGTTTGAAGTGAGACTTAGCAAGAGGTCCAATGCTGTGTTGTTCCATAACACTCCTTAAAAAATTTCCTCTGCCTTTTTGCCCTTTAGGTCAAGTTGAATGAGAGGATCATAGCTACTGAGCAAGGACTCCTTATTCGCTCTGTCCAGGACAGCGACCGGGGGCTTTACCACTGCATCGCGACAGAGAACAGCTTCAAGCAGACCTTAGCGAAGATCAATTTCAAAGTGTTGGATTCAGATATGGTGTCCTTCATGACTGACAAGTGGTCCCCTTGGACCTGGGCAAGCTCAGTACGAGCCCTGCAGTTCCACCCAAAGGACTTTGAGGGAGCTTTCAGCCACTCAGAAATGCAGATGATCAACCAGTACTGCAAAGACAGCAGACAGCAAGGTCAGCAGAGGGAAGAATCCCAGAAGATGAGAGGGGACTACAGCAAACTGAAGGCCCTTATCAATAGCAGGAAAAGTAGAAATAGAAGGAATCAATTACCTGGCTCTTAACTTTATTTCATAGTAATAGATATCTTTGTCCTCACTGTAGAGATTTTATATTTGTCTATTGAGAACAAATTTGAGCAAATCTGATAAAAAATTAAATTAAAATCCAACAAGCCTCAGGAAAGATCTGTCTCCCAGTCAAATGCAGTGTAACTTAACTAAATAAAATAATTCAGAGCATTTTCTTTCCTAGATGCTTACTGACACTAGGTTGGGCTCTGTCCTAGAAGCAGAACTGGGTATATATCTTAAACCTTATTATCTTTAATATCTCTCTATTTAATTACAGCTGAACAGAAATATTTACAAAATCAATTTATTATCTTCCAACTCCAGAACTGTAACAACTGGACTGGTGGTGAAAGAATCTGAGTTAAGATGCATGCTCAAAGGAGGATGATACTAAGATTTCCTTGCACTGCATTTAAGAACATGAGTTTCTTCTTGTTTACTGTTCAATATTGGGTTTACAGCTTTCACTCATTGTTCCAATCATGTGAATGCATGCTGATAGGAAGCAAGTAAAGTATAGTAGAAATGTTTCATTCATTCAGAGGTCAAATGAAGAAATGAGTAGAAAAAAAAACCACAACAAAATTTATACTTTATCAGAGGAAACACTGATTACTGTGCATAGCATGAATTGTAATTAACGAGTTCTGCAATGTAACTTAAAATATCTCTGCTCATATTGATTTTTATTAAAATAGGGTGTCCTATAACACTACATAGCTTTATAAGTGGCACAAAGCTAACAGGAGAATGTTCGTTATACATACAATTTTGAAAAACACCTAAGTGACTTAGGTATTTTAGCTATTTTTCAAAGAATTAGTCTCCAATTTTCAAAGGACAGAATGTGGGTATACTGTATCGTGTTTACTCAGAAAATAAAAATAAATATTATCTTTAATCTGTTCCATGGTTAAATTGGAGCTAGTCTGCAATGTGGAAACAAGTAATGAGTATCTTTGAAAACTTAAAAACATTATTTTTACAACTGTTTTCTCAACAGTGAGAATATTTATCTAGAATTTTTAAATTAAACCATTTCCATTTTCCAGGCTTTGTACCCTTTTTCTTTTCAATGTTATTTTCAAAATTTCCTCTTATTTTCAGTTTTGTGCTGAAAATAAGATCAGGAAAAGGAAAAGAAAAAAAGAATGAGGGAGAAATAAAGCTGAAAAATGGGTTTGGGTCTAAAACCAAAAAGTATCACAACTTGAGAGACATGTTTAAACAGAATATTTTTGTTTAAGAAGCAGCTGTCAGGTCTAATGAAGTATGTCTAGTTGAAAATTGAATAAATGTGCATCAAGCCATCCTGGGAAAAATGATCACTTTTTTTTTTGAGCAACACTAATGCCAAAAAATAGGAACAAATGTTCCTCATTTTACTATGTAAGAGTGTTCTAGAAGCCACTGAGTCTGTTTAAAGGAGATAGAAAACAGGGATAAAAAATGTATGAGTACCTTAGAAAAACTGTCATTTATTCTACGATATTTTATGACAGTATACAAAAGTATAAACTGATCTTCAGCTCAAAGCTGAACTATGTTAAACTCCAAAAAAAAAAAGGTAAATTTCTGGAAAACAAAAATTGAGTGAAAGTAATTTCTGAACCCAGCGAAGATAAGAAAAAATATGTTTTAAATTTTGTAAGTTCTAGACAGTAGCAGATGGATACTGTATATTAAAATGTAGCATTAAACATTTTAATGGGTCTTTTTGAAACTCTTTGGGCATTATTTTGATTTTGCTTCTATTAGAATACTCTGGGAGTAACTCCACAGGATGCTGGAGAACACCTCTGGGTTTGTGCCAGAGTGAATTAAGATCTGCTGCGATGGAGGTGCACTCCATTCGTATCAGAACTCTGGTATTCACCTGATACCAGTTAGATGTGTCACTTTATCACCACCTGATACAGAATAGCTGGGAAATGGGCCCTGATTGATCAAACCACTTAAACACTGTCTCTAAGTCCCTTTGACACTGGTGGGAGCTCCTTGAATTTAATTTGTGTACTTACTGCTTGCTTCCAAGGGAATGGCAATGCCAGCCTGATCATGTATTGCCATCTAGTTTGGTGTTCTCCTTAACCAATGTATATTTCTGCAATACGTAGCCATTCGTATCTAAGGTCTTTCCTATGGAAACCATCAGGAAACTTTCTCTTTGACTTCAGTGAGCTTGGATCAGGCCCCAAGAGCTGGCAAAGCAGACTCTGGAGAGAACAAAAAATAAAATGAGTAAGTTAAAATAAGATTTAAGTGGTTTTTTTTTCCCCAGCTGACTTTCAGTGCAGCAAACTACTTTTTTCTTTTTTTTTTCATTTTTTTTTCCTAAGGATGACTGACTTCCAAAGTGTATAAGTGACAAACCAAAAATCGAGTGCCACAAACTAGAACTACCTCCTGGAATGACACTAGTGCATATACTCTGTGTGCTGCCATGCTCTTCCTATTTCCCCAGCAGATTCACTGCAGAGTTGGTGTGATATTAATGGCCATTGTGAGGATCATAATTGCTTCCAGATGGAATAGAGTGATTAATAGGTATTTAAGGGTACAATTTACCATTTAAGTGGTTAGGTACAGTGATATTTTAATAGGCCCCTGTTAGGCCTCAGAAGTTGTAGTTACACTATTTTCTAATAGAATATTGGCAATAAGGGATTCCGTTAAAACAATCAGCATAGCTCAGAGTTTCTTATGATTATAAAATAATATTTTTAAAGCTGCTTCATATACCATTATGATGGTATGACTGTTTAAGGGATTATACTTAAACTAACATTTTTCCTGCTGCATGAAAACTTCAGCCTATATATAATAAGCTTCTGTCAGTGCGCAACTGGTCCAAGCTTCCATGCTTTAGCAGCGCTCCCCCGTGTATAGAGTAGTCAGGAGCCAGATGCTCAGCTGGTATAAACCAGTGTAACTTGCTCGCTGTCCCTTTAGCTACTGTGCTTTATACCAGCTGAGGGTTTGGCCCTAAATGTACAGAATAGACAAAATGCAGTTTTTATTTGCCTAAAGTAGCCCCTCTACTGTAGGTAACACCAAAACTTAAGACTCTAATATTGGTTTTGCTATTTAATACTTCCTATTTTGAGGATTACTAAATAATGTACATAATTTTATTCCTTAAAAAATACAAAAGCAAAATGACTTCTAGGCATAACTTCACCAAATGTAAAGATATGTTCTCTGCTAAGAACTTCACCATGTACTGATATTTTTTTGGCTATTTTTATTTTGTGTAGTTTGTAAAGTTTGCTGAAATCTTGACCTAACAATGTGTTCTTTGCAATTGTTGTTACTGTAGATATGTGTGTTTTATTAAGAAAATCTTGTTTTTAAAAGTGTAGGTATGTGTATAAGCTCATAGCATGATGAAACTGTCATTACAGTGAATATGCATTATATAGTGTATAAGAAAGAACAAAATGTAGTTTAACATTGTGCTATTTAATTGAATATCTAAAATACTATTTGCCTGACAAAATAAAGTGTGTTGCAACAACTTAAAATCTGGGGTTTTTCCCCTTTATAGATATCTGTTTAAAATAAGGAATAATTTCTTTTATCTGAAAAGAATCCCATAGACTTTCTTAAACAAGTCGAAGAAAATACTCGGAGCATCAGGTATTGCAGCTGATCTGTTCTGAGCCCTGCTCTGGGCTGAACACTCAGTCACAGAGGTTTCCCAGAATTCATGAGAAGTCAGAGATTAATTAATCCAGAAATTATCCCATGTGAAGGCTTTGCATGTAAGCAGGTAAACGTTTATTCATTGTAAAAAAAATAATAAATTGTTTTCTACCAGAATTGTAAAGTTAGTGAGAAATGTCTGACTAAAAAAGGGGAGTGAAGTATAAATGTTGCATTTATTCCATTGAGAAGAAGAAACAAAAAAAACCTCTCAAACAAATAAAAACCAAGCACATTCTGTGAAATCCTGCCGACAGATTGAGTTGTTCAGCTTTTTCTCTCGGCTGAGACTCGAGGCATTCTCCAAGCAGCTCTGCAGGGGAGGCAGGCTGGGGGGCTGCGCCGCAGGGAGCCTCAGCTCTCTCCTATTTCCTAGCTTGTCCTTGAAGCAAAATAACCTGCCTGACACCTCGAGTATGCTCCTTTGTCCTGCATCTATCATCCATGGAGTGCTGTTACTGCTTTTCTTATCATCTCTTTTTCCAGATCGGTTTTAACAAGAAGGTATAGGGCCTCCTCAGTTCTTTGGGATAATAATTAAAAATTAAATGCCACAAATACTGACCTTCACAACAAGGTTCTGGATCATTAAACATGGATTTTGGTTTCCCAGATAGATAGATTCCTGCAAGGCTTTATGAGGTGTGAGGGGATAAGATTACCTCACCCCAGGATTTCAGTGCTGGCTGGTTCCTGGATGTGCTGACACTGGATAGTTACCTGCTAAGCACTCAGGCCAGTTTGGGTCGGAAGCTGAGGTTTTGAGCACTCCCACGTGCTGTAGGAAACATTTGGATTAAGTTCCAAAAAAAGCTGGGCATTACAGAGATTTATACTCTGAGAAACCCTTTCCAGACCTGATCTTCTATCTCTATCCTGCTCTGTTGTCTTTTGCTGAACTTCTCCCCGTCTCTTTTCCCCCCCCAGTCCTGGAGGGTTGTAGCATGGTTCAACACTTACTGCTTTGATTCCTTAACTCTGAGCAGTGGCAAAACAAGGCACGGGACTTCTCCAGGCATCATATGTGAGATATTCAAAGATCTGAGCTTTCTCCTTTATCTTTCAAATGTCTGTTGGAATTTTTATTTTTTTATTTTTTTTTCCATCTAGGAGCTACTGCTTTTTCTAAGGTGTATCTTGTGATGACAGGACCTTTCTAATCTCTCTCTTCAAGTGAAAGCAGGATGCAAAACCCACACACTCAGACCGTTTGTTGCAATGCGTGTACCCATGCAGAATCTCTATGGGACAGAACAGTGTCAAGTGCAGCCTCCTCTATGCATCCACAGAAGCCCAGAGGAGACCAGCAAAAAAATGTTGACTGCACAGGAGAAACTGCTAGCAACAAGATGGCTCCCAATGCTATAGGATGGTTGTTGCCTCTGGAATTAATTGT